CACATGACTCAGAAAGTTGTCTGTGGACAAACACCAGCTCCCTTGGCCTGAAAGCCAGATAAGCGCCGCAACCCCATAGTTGCCTTTGACTGGACTTAACCTTCCAGGGGTCCTTTACCTTTACCTAATTACTGTAAGACAGGGTGGCGCTGTGGTTAAAACCTCAGCGCCTAGGACTTGCCGATCGCATGGTCGATCGCATGGTCGGCAGTTCAAATCCCCGCGGCGGGGTGCGCTCCCGTTGCTCGGTCCCAGCGCCTGCCAACCTAGCAGTTCGAAAGCACCCCCGGGTGCAAGTAGATAAATAGGGACCGCTTACTAGCGGGAAGGTAAAACGGCGTTTCCGTGTGCTGCGCTGGCTCGCCAGAGCAGCTTTGTCACGCTGGCCACGTGACCCGGAAGTGTCTGCGGACAGCGCTGGCTCCCGGCTCTAGAGTGAGATGAGCGCACAACCCTAGAGTCTGTCAAGACTGGCCCGTATGGAAAACAGAATGAGAGAAAAGAAAAACTTTTGGAGAAAATAAAAGAAGCTGAAAAAAAATTGAGGTCTAAACCGAAGTCTCATGAGATCTTGAGAGAAATAAAGTATTATCAGACACAATATATGGAACTGACGAACCAAGAGATAGAATGGAAGATAAAGCAAATGAGACAAAGAACATTCGAATCAGCAGACAAGTGTGGGAAACTTCTGTCATGGCAACTGAAAAAGAGACAAAAATTGAACACTGTGACAAGTTTGGAAATGGAAGGAAAAATTATCCACAAACCAAATGAGATAAATAATTGCTTCCAAAGCTTCTTTAGGAAATTATATGCACAGGGGCCGGCAAATGAGCAGGAAATAGAAGAATTTATTAAAAAGTACGGATTACCAAAGATTTCAGAACAAAGCAAAAGGATTTTGAATGAGAAAATAACAGGACAAGAAATAGAGGACGCCATTCAGAAGATGAAATTGGGAAAATCTCCAGGCCCAGATGGTTTGACTGCCAGATATTATAAGGCACTGAAGGAATGGATAATCCAACCATTGAAGGAAGTTTGTAACGAAATTCTGGAAGGGAAAAAGGCACCCGAATCGTGGAAAGAAGCTTTCATCTCACTTATACCGAAAACAGAGACTGAAAAGAACCAGGTTAAAAACTACCGCCCTATATCATTACTCAATGTGGATTACAAAATTTTTGCAGACATTTTAGCAAAAAGATTGAAGAGAGTTTTGGTACAGGAGATTCATAAGGACCAAACAGGCTTTCTCCCAGGGAGATATATGTCAGACAACGTAAGGAACATTATAGACATTTTAGAGTTGTTGGAAGTAAAGATTAATAGAAAAGCAGTAATAATTTTTGTGGATGCGGAGAAAGCCTTTGACAACATTTCTTGGACCTTTATGAAAAAGAATCTCCAAGGGATGGGGGTAGGCCAAAGTTTTGAAAACGGTATAGGTGCTATATATTCTAAGCAAAAAGCAAAGTTGATTGTTAACAATGTGGTAACAGAAGAGATTCCTATAGAAAAAGGTACACGACAGGGATGCCCACTATCACCCTTACTTTTTATAACAGTCCTGGAGGTTTTGTTGAACATGATTAGAGGGGACCAACTGATTAAAGGTGTTCAGCACGGAGCAAAAGACTATAAATTAAGGGCATTCGCAGATGATTTGGTATTGACTTTGCAGGAGCCAGAGACTAGTACTAAAAGAGTTTTAGAATTAATTGAGAAATTTGGTCAAGTAGCAGGATTTAAATTGAACATGCAAAAAACTAAAGTGTTGGAGAAAAATCTAACAATGGCAGAAAAAGAGAAGTTTCAGAGTGAAACAGGTTTAACAATAACAAAAAAGGTGAAATATCTGGGGGTAAACTTGACTTCTAGAAACGTAAACTTATTTAAAGACAATTATGAAAAATGTTGGACAGAGGTGAAAAAAGATCTAGAAATATGGTCAAGGTTGAGACTTTCCTTGTTAGGCCGAATTGCTGTTATCAAGATGAATGTATTGCCTAGAATGCTGTTTTTGTTCCAGACACTCCAGATCCTGGACAAGATGGACTGTTTCAAGAGGTGGCAAAAAGACATATCAAAATTTGTCTGGCAGGGCAAAAAGCCCAGAATAAAATTTAAGATTTTAACTGATGCAAAAGATAGAGGGGGTTTTGCCCTGCCGGACCTGAGACTTTATTATGAATCGGCAGCTTTTTGCTGGCTGAAACAATGGCTACTTCTTGAGAATACAGACATCTTGGATCTGGAAGGTCATGATAATAGATTCGGTTGGCATGCATATATATGGTATGACAAGGTAAAATCGCATAAAGGTTTTAAAAACCATATTGTGAGGAAAGCGCTGTATAATGTCTGGATAAGATACAAAGATTTGTTGGAAAGTAAAACTCCCAGGTGGTTATCACCAATGGAGGCCAAAGAGATAAAGAAACTAAATATGGAGTCCAAATGGCCAAAATATTGCGAAATTATAGAACAAGATGGTGAAAGAGTTAAATTGCAGAGTTTTGATAAATTAAAGTCTAAGGTACGAGACTGGTTGCATTACCGTCAGATAAACGAAGTATTTAAACAGGACAGGAAAATAGGTTTCCAGATGGAGAGGTCGAAATTAGAAACAGAACTGCTAGAACCCAATACCAAGAACTTGTCGAGAATGTACAATTTGCTGCTGAAGTGGAATACACAAGAGGAAGTAGTAAAATCAGCCATGATTAAATGGGCACAAGACATAGGTCATGACATAATGTTTGATGACTGGGAACAGTTATGGAATTCAGGTATTAAGTTTACAGCTTGTAATGCATTAAGAGAGAATATAATGAAAATGATCTATAGGTGGTACATGACCCCAGTCAAACTTGCAAAAATCTATCATTTGCCCAGTAACAAATGTTGGAAATGTAATGAGATTGAAGGTACCTTCTATCACCTTTGGTGGACCTACTGGGTAAAGGTCTACTGGGAAATGATCTATAATGAAATTTAAAAAGTCCTTAAATGGACATTTTTGAAAAAGCCAGAGGCCTTTCTTTTGGGTATGGTGGGCCAATTGGTGCCAAGGAAGGACAGAAATTTCTTTATGTATGCTACCACAGCGGCGAGAATTCTTCTAGCAAAGTATTGGAAGACGCAACAGCTACCTACTCTGGAAGAATGGCAAGCGAAGGTGACTGAGTATATGGGTATGGCAGAGATGACCGGCAGAATCCGCGACCAGGGGAGAGAGACGGTGGAAGAGGACTGGAAGAAATTTAAAAAATATCTCAAAGACTGTTGTAAAATTGATGATGGCTGAGATGTTATGGTTATAAGAAATAGAGAATTGCAGCTGTAAATCTTAACTTTAAAAAATGCATAATGAAAATGAGCGAACAAATTGAAACGAAGGGTTGCTGAGAAAGGGTTAACATAAGGATGCAGAAAAAGGGAGGTATGGGGAAGTCCGGGAAAGAAGGTTCATGAAAATAATTTTAAGAAATTATACATGTTTATTTGTTTGTATGTTTTGTATGTTTTGTTTTGTTTTATTTTTTGTTTTTTATATGTTTGGAAAATTAATAAAGATTATTAAAAAAAAAAGAAAGTGACGTTCAGTGATGGGATAGTTACAGAAAATGGTTACTGTTGCGTTGTAGTGGAGCTCTGTATAAGCAGGCTGGCTGAACCCTTCAGTTCAGTTCTGTTCTGGCCTGTGAATAAACAAGAGCTGTTTGAAGAATCGCTGCGTCGTCTGATATGTTCACCCACAACTTAACACTGGCGACGAAGTTGGGATTGATGGACATCAGAGCACAGCCAGATGCGGTCACCCTCTGAGCTGAGCTGAATCACTGAGCTGAAACACCGAGCGAAATCACTGAACAGAACCAATTGAGAGCTGACCGTTCTGGCTAGAGCACTGTGTTCCGTTCCATCCATTTAGTGCTTCTGCACATGCGCAACCCCTGAAACCCGGAAGTAACCTGTTCTGGTACTTCCGGGTTTCAGCGGGTCCGTAACCTGAAAAAAACGCAACCTGAAGCATCTGTAACCTGAGGTATGACAACAGAATAATCAGAAATTTAAGGCAAACCATCACAATAAAGTTCATCCAGCAATGACTATGCAAGGGTGTGGGGGTTAAGATCAGAAGCCTAATAAATTAGATGTGATAAGGAAGGTGAAGGAACAGTTGAACAGTGTTAAAGTAGCAGCAATGCAAGGAAGGAGAGAGGCTTTGGGAAGTGTAAGCTGGTAATTCATTCGTGCGTATTACAAGCTTTGGGGATTTCTGGGCAGGTAATTAAGTATATGTATTTATGAAGGCATGAAATCAACACATTTAAAAAAAAAAGAGAAAGCTCTAAACAAAAAGAAGAAAAAGTCTGACACTAGACAAAGTATCTGCACCCTTCATTAATTGCTATTATTTTTTTTATTATTATTATACCTGTCCTTCGTGCTAAGGTCCGAGGGCAGGTTCCAACATCAAAACACAATATTGAAAAGCAAGTTTAAAACAACTTGCAACTTTACTAAGTCCTGCTTACATTTATAACTATTAATATTTTTTCTGGTTCTCTAATAGTAAAATGGTTTAATTTTATAAAAGTTGTAAAATCAATTGTTTATAGATTTTTTTAAATAGATTTTTAATACGTAGATTGTGTATCGATTGTATGAAATAAAATTTATCTTTTTAAAGAGAAAGAAAAGAATGAGGCAAGCCCGTTGAGCATATATCTAGTAACAGTTTTTGGAGAGCTAAGACGAGAACTCCATATTTAGTCGCAGTATACCTTCAAGTACTAGATGCTAGGAACCGGACATGAAGACCAAGTCCTTTCATTGCACCCTGTTTGTGGCCTTCATAGGGGTACGTAGCTGGCCATAGTTGGAGACAGGTATTTCGGACTGGACAAACTTTGAGTCCAATTTAGCAAGGTGGCTATTGCACACTTATATTAACTTGTTTGTTTTGTTTTTTTATTTCCCCCACCCAGAGAAATACATGGACTTTGATCTCAATGCACAAGGAGATATAGGTGGGTGAATTGTGTTCATAGCATGGCTTCGTAGTTGCGTATGCACAAATTTCCGCACCAGAGACATTCCTGCTCCCTAGTTAATTTTCTTTATCTGCAGCATTTTTAATGTTTTTGAAATATACTCGGAGTCGAGAGTGGATTTCATGCTCTTTATTCAGCTCATAGTGGTGAGGAGGAATGGAAGTTCCCCCAGAATGTCTGCTTTATATACATTATTTACACAATGGGCCCCACATGATTTGCTAATTCCGGGATTCTCCTGTAGGCCAATCAGGTCGTGGATTCACTTCCACCTGGAGCTGGATTGGGTGGCTCCTATGGACCAATCAGACTGCTGCATTCTGGAGCCTATTGTTCTAGGACCAATCAGACTGCTGCATTCTGGACCCTATTGTTCTAGGACCAATCAGACTGCTGCATTTTGGATCCTATTCAACTCAGTACATAACAGTTTTAATGTATTTTTAATCTTTTGTTGGAAGCCGCCCAGAGTGGCTAGGGAAACCCAGCCAGACGGGCGGGGTATAAATAATAAATTATTATTATATTATTATTTTAGCGCACTCTACGGCAGTCCGCTTTAGTTATACAGGTTTGCTGTCTCCCTTCCCCCAAGATATCATGGCCTTGAAGCGCATGCTAGAAAAACTGGGCGCAGCCAAGACCCACCTGGAGCTAAAGAAGATGATCACTGAGGTGACTGGAGGTATGAGCGAAACCATCTCCTACCGGGACTTTGTCCGTATGATGCTGGGCAAGCGATCAGCTATCCTTAAAATGTAAGTACCATTAACGCACAGTCCGGTCTCAAAGATATCAGATTTTTGCCCACGCAAAACTTGGGTTTGATTTCCTTACACCATCGTCATCATCATTACTAAATTAAATTTGTATACCGTCCTATACCTAGAGGTCTCAGGGCAGTTCGCCACATAAAAAACACAATATAAAAACACAAACTACACAATAAAAAGAAAACCAAGAACAACCCAAGAATCGCCCAACACATTTCACAAAAGGGCACTGGATGTCAGTCAGCCAAAGGTTGAAGGGGAACATTTTTGCCTGGCGCCTAAAGATTTATAATGAAGGTGCTGGCGAACCTCCCTGGGGAGAGCATTCCACAGATGGGGAGCCACTGCAGAAAAGGCCCCGTTCTCGTGTTGCCACCCTCCGGGCCTCTCGAGAAGGCGGCACACGAAGAAGGGCCTCAGAAGATGATCTCAGGGTCCAGGAAGTTTAATATGGAGAGAGGCAGTCCTTAAGGTATTACATAGAAGGCTGTGGTGTCTTAGAGATAAAGGTAAAGGGACCCCTGACCAATAGGTCCAGTCGTGACCGACTCTGGGGTTGCGGCGCTCATCTCGCTTTATTAGCCGAGGGAGCCGGCGTACAGCTTCCGGGTCATGTGGCCAGCATGACGAAGCCGCTTCTGACAAACCAGAGCAGCGCACGGAAACGCCGTTTTCCTTCCCGCCAGAGTGGTACCTATTTATCTACTTGCACTGGCGTGCTTTCGAACTGCTAGGTTGGCAGGAGCAGGGACCGAGCAACGGGAGCTCACCCCGTTGCGGGGATTCGAACCGCCGACCTTCTGATCGGCAAGTCCTAGGCTCTGTGGTTTAACCCACAGCACCACCTGCGTCCCCGACAGCTTTTATTATGGCACATAATAAAGATGACGACTATGTTCTACTTTCACTGCTGGACACTGAGCATAAAGTGGAAGGGCTCACGATTTTAACTCTCCAATAGATCTTGCTCCCCACATTTGGTTTCTAGGAAAGGCTATATAGCCTTGGATTCAGCACAGAGAGCAAGTCAAGTCTCTATGTCTCTTCCCAGCCTAGTTCAAGACTACCAACTCCTTCACAGCCACTGGTCCCTGGTGAACTCAACTTCAGCTATTCAAACAACCCAAAAGTATTATGGTACCTTAATAACTTGGTGTAAGCTTTCATAGACTCAAGCCCCCTTCATCAGATGCACCTGTAGAACTATTTGCAAGAAACAGTCAGCTATCCTGGCATTGATAATCTAATTAAGACATGCAGCATGCTTAAAAACAACAACCTTTCTCTCAATTTAACTTACAAGTGATGACTCTGCCCCACTACTGATGTTAATGCAACCATCTCAGCAGCCTGCTGCTATAAAAGGTTTAAAGGCCTGTCTCTTCAACATACATTTAAGCTCTAATTATCACTGACTGTATTTTTTTTTTGCATCTCGTTAAGGTTCAACCTCCACCTTCCAATGTTCTCCTTTAAATACCTGTCAACTAAGATTTAACTTTGTGCGTCTGACAAAGTTCATGAAAGCTTGTATTATAATAAATTTGATTTGTCTTTTAAGCTGACCACTTTAGCAGTACTTTTATATGCAGAATCCCATATTAGATATGAAAAGCAGCCTTGGGGTGGACCCCGAAGATGACATCTAGAATAACCCCCAATCCTAGAACAATTTTCCGGCCTCAGACTCTATTATCCTCAGGTGGAGTTCAGTTGTGACCCCCCCCTCCATTACACGACACACCTGGTGGATTGGGGGGGATTATCTGGTCCAACAGAGCTCGTTTTATTTTCTTAAATGGCCACTTGTCTGATTTAAGAAGGGGCATCGCTTGTGAATTCATATTTCCTTCTTATTTCTGCAGAATTCTGATGTATGAAGAAAAAGCCAAAGAGAAGGATGAAAAGCCAGCCGGACCCCCGCCCAAAAAAATAATTGCAGATCTTCCTTAAAAAATACCTTTAACTACAGGGTTGGCTCCGGCCTCCAAGCTGTTCCTGGAGCTCTTCGTAAACAGGAGAGCCTTTCTTTTGGAAAATGTCCTAGAATAAGGGGTTCATTTGAAATAGTATTTCTGGGGTCCTCCCACGGCAGAACTCTGCCTCATTGTGTGGTGGGGTGGGGGAGAAGGTATTTTCATTGTAAGGTCGTATTTGTTGTTCTACTTTTTACTCTCTCCATTAAAATATATATACGGTATATATATACACTAGATTCCTCAGTTACAACTGCTGATCGTAATGCCAATAGTGATAGTGTTTGCAATGTAGTCTCATTCATGTTTACTGAGAAGTAAGCTTATTCCCACTGTGTGCATGGCACAGGCATAGGCAAACTCCGGCCCTCCAGATGTTTGAGACTACAATTCCCATCATACCTAGCTAACAGGACCGGTGGTCAGGGATGATGGGAACTGTAGTCCCAAACATCTAGAGGGCCGGAGTTTGCCGATGCCTGGCATAGCACAATTGAGGTTCCTGTGCCACTTTCTCAGGTGTTAGAACCATAGAGTTGGAATAGACCAGTGTTTCCCAACCTTGGGCCTCCAGCTGTTTTTGGACTACAACTCCCATCATCCCTAGCTAGCAAGACCAGTGGTCAGGGATGATGGGAATTGTAGTTCAAAGACAGCTGGAGGCCCAAGGTTGGGAAACACTGGAATAGACCACAAGGGCCATCGAGTCCAACCCCCTGCCAAGCAGAAAACACCATCAGAGCACTCCTGACATATGGTTGTCAAGCCTCTGCTTAAAGACCTCCAAAGAAGGAGACTCCACCACACTCCTTGGCAGCAAATTCCACTGTCAAACAGCTCTTACTGTCAGGAAGTTCTTCCTAATGTTTAGGTGGAATCTTCTTTCTTGTAGTTTGGATCCATTGCTCCGTGTCCGCTTCTCTGGAGCAGCAGAAAACAACCTTTCTCCCTCCTCTATGTGACATCCTTTTATATATTTGAACATGGCTATCATATCACCCCTTAACCTCCTCTTCTCCAGGCTAAACATGCCCAGCTCCCTTAGCAGTTCCTCATAAGGCATCGTTTCCAGGCCTTTGACCATTTTGGTTGCCCTCCTCTGGACACGTTCCAGTTTGTCAGTGTCCTTCTTGAACTGTGGTGCCCAGAACTGGACACAGTACTCCAGGTGAGGTATGACCAGAGCAGAATACAGTGGCACTATTACTTCCTTTGATCTAGATGCTATACTCCTATTGATGCAGCCCAGGTGTTGTTGGACTTCATTTCCCATCAGCCCCAAGAACTGCAATCCAGTGACTTTGTGAAGGCCAACAGCTTTCTCACCCTTGGGTATAGCCCTAGGCTGAAAATTGCAATCCTGTGCACCAGCCTTTGCCAACCGGGTGTCCTCCAAATATCCAACTCCCATCAGCCCCAGGCATATTTCTTGAAGGATTCTAATATATAATGGGACTAGTGCACAATTTGATTACCCCCACCCCACCCTCTCCTCCCCCATCGTGCACCCTGTGCTATCCCCAAATCTGCTCTTGAAAACCCTGGAACATTTTATTTTATTTTTTACTCTGGCTTCTCAAATCTTTCGCCTTTTTGTGTATTTTATTTGTTAAACTGATTGGTCACTTTCTTTAAAAAAAACCAAGGTCTCTCAAAGCAACATACAATATACATTTCTGAGCACAATTCAAAGTGTTGGTGCTGACCTTTAAAGCCCTAAACGGCCTCGGTCCAGTATATCTGAAGGAGCGTCTCCACCCCCGTCATTCTGCCTGGACACTGAGGTCCAGCGCCAAGGGCCTTCTGGCAGTTCCCTCATTGTGAGAAGTGAGGTTACAGGGAACCAGACAGAGGGCCTTCTGGAATGACCTCCTTTCAGATGTGAAGGAAATAAGCAGCTATCCTATCTTTAAAAGACATCTGAAGGCAGCCCTGTTCAGGGAAGTTTTTAATATTTAATGCTGTATTGTTTTTAACACTTGATTGGGAGCCACCCAGAGTGGCTGGGAAACTCAGCCAGATAGGCAGGGTATTAATAATAATAAATAATATAATTATTATTATTATTATTATTATTATTATTATTATTATTATTATTATTAAACACACACACACATACATAATAGATGGCATAAAAGAAAAACAAAGTGGTAAGAAGAAATATGAAATGTAATCCTAAAAAAAAATAAAATCAGGATTACCCACTCAAGGAGGCCACAGATAATTAAGAACCAAAGGCCTGGTGAAAAAAGAAATGTTTTGCACACTTAAAACTGCACACCCATATATATTCAACCAGCTCCTAAGCACTGTTTAAGATTACATCCTAGGATCACTGCCACTCTGGTCGGTTTGCTTTTGCAACGCATTGCTGGAATTCAAACCTCCAATCGCCCTTATTAAAATAAATACAACCACTTTCTGCTTTGCAAGGAGTGAGGGAAAGAGGAGCCAATTCCACATATCAGGAGCTGCCCCGCTATTGCACGGATTACGCCGTAGTCCCAGACTCCCTTTGCAACACCTGCCCGTTGAACTCCCTCGAACCCCCGCCCGCCCGCTTCTCTGTTTTCGAACTCCCTTCCTTCGGGGTTTTGCCCCCTTAGCCCCGCCTCCCGTGCAGCGTGTGGGGGCGTGGCTTCGCCGCCGCCGCCGGGGCCTGGGACCCGGATGGCCGTTTAGTCGGTGCTTAGACGCCGAGGCTGCCACATCGGGCCTTGGACAAATTACAAAGCAAGGGGGAGGGGGGGACAGCGTAATCCGCCTCCATCCTCCGCCTAGATTTCCCTTCCGCCCCCGGGAAGCTCGTATCCGGATAGAGCGGACCGAGCCCGATCAGACGAGGTGGGTATCGGCCTGGTTCGCCCCCGGTAGCCCTCCACTTGAGCGCTCGCAGGGCGGCGCTGGTGCGAGGGAAGAGGCTAGGTCGGCTCGAGCCGGTAGAGCGCTCAGGCCTCCGCCATCTTGTCCCTTACTTCATCCTCCTCGGCCGCTCTCCCCGCAGCTGAATCCGAGTCCATCCGCCCCTCAGGCCCCGCTCCCCGCTCCCCATGGCCAGCCGTGCCCTCCCCAAAGCGCTGCCCTTGTGGCTCCTGGCGGGTATTTGCCCCACTGGAGGGCAGTCGGGCTCCCAATGGCTGCCCTCCCCCGGGGTAGAGCCGCCTACAAAGGGGAGAGTGAAGAGGGTGCTCTCTCTTCCTGACTCTCGCCTTGGACCCCCCCCCCCGCAACCCGGGCTTGGCTGTTCACACGACGGCGGAACCTGCGGGTTGGGGGGGTGCCATTGACGAGGGGGCGCTAACAGGCCTTTGGGGGTTTGAGGCTTCAGGTGGAGTTCAGTTGTGACCCCCCCACCCTCCATTACCAGACACACCTGGTGTTTTTTGTGGGGTGGGGGGTGCGATTTATCTTAAATTTGAAGAGGGCCGTGAGTGAGGCGTGGAAATACAAAGGGCCAAGATGGTTCTGGAGCAGGTGGGGCTTTTTTAATGCGGGGGGGGGGAATTATAAGGCCCAGATAATCGCCTAGTATCCATCTCTAGGGTGGTCTGAAGTATTGAGGCTGTATTTGGGGGTGCTGGGGTTTCCTCTTTCCCTCCCCATCACCACACACAACATTTTATCTGATGCCTCTAAAAGATTTCCCCTTTAGAACCTATGATGAAATCTAAATGGATATTTCAGAGGGTAAAGGGCTGGTTTTTGTGTGTGTATGAGAGCACGAGAGCGCAGAAATTTGAGGCTGAATCCAGCCATTCCTTTATCCCTTTGCATTTCTCCCTCTATATTTCATATTAACTTCTATTTTGGGGAGGAGGGATTTGATTTTTTTGTGGTCTAGAATACCACAGGGTGGTAGACACTTTTCTACCCAGCATACCTACAGTATAGTGCCGACATTTGAGATGTGTGGCACTATTGGAATGAGGAGGTGAAGTTGATTGAAATCCAATTTTTTATACATAAAGGAGTTTCTTTAAAATAAGAAAGCATTAGAAGCATCCAAATGTTTTGGGGAGGAAAGGGGAGATGTGGTTTGATAGAAACTGGTGTGTGTGTGTGTGTTTAGAGCATGATACTGTAAGGCTCTTGAGGTTTGCAGTTGTATATAAGCTATACCATTAATTTAAGTCAGCCTCTGCCTTCAGGTTTGCTGTAATGTATTAAAACATTTTTCTCCCCAGGAAAAATCCAAATGTCGGAAGGGAGGGGTGGAGTAGGGGACAGGAGGTGTGGCCTTTTTTAAAAAAAGAGAGAATGGTTTAAAGGCAGCAGCACTACTATTTGAAGAGAGCAGCTAAATCATCGTCTTCGTTGCCTACGCTAGTACCCCGTGGGATTGAGAAGATACCCTAAATAAGGGCGATATTGAGGTAGTCATGAAGTTACAGCCGTGTTAATTGCGAGATGAACCGCTGAGTTATAAAAACCCGTTTTGTTGCAGCTGCACTTGAAAAAGGAAAACCTGTTAAGCAGGCAGCTTTTATGATGGTTTGGGGGTATCGTTGAAAATCTAGACATGGTAGGACTACAGTGGCAATATCAGTAGTTGGGTATCATTTAAATAGAAAATCTTATCTGTTTGGGGGTAATGAATACCTCTCTTTGAAGGTAGTATTGAGACCAGGGGTGTGCCTTTGGGAAAAGGGAGAGTGCTTGTTCATCTAAAACCTTGTTTCTTCTAGCACGCTCAAACACAGTGGATTGGAAGGAAAATAAGTCCTCATGACTTGTGTGGTTAGGAAAGATTAATGGCTTCTTGTTGTATATATCCCCCCCTCCCTTTTTGGTATTTTTAACCGAACAGCCGGAATTAATTTAGCTTAAAAGTGGAGTTCAAATTTCCCAGCATTGTGGCGAGAGGGTGGGGTGATAGTGATTTGTAAAGGGTGTATGGTGACACACACAAAAAAAGTGAGCTAATATGGCTCCCTTTCATTTCAGAACCACAAGTCTCAAAATGGGGTGGTTTTAAAAATAATGGGTGTGTTTATGCAGCAAGAAGGGGGTCCTCTTTCCCCCCCCTCCCACCAAAAGGTACAATACACACACACCCCGAGAAAAAATTAGGTAGCCAAAGCCAAGGCAGCTTTTAAATGAGTGTCTTAACTGGGTCCTTGCCAGGTTTACCCATGCACAAAAAAAGAGAGCATGGCGATTCTGAGGAAAGGGTTAGAAATGAAATCTAATTGCCAGGTTTCGCATTTCAAGACAAGCAAATTTGCTCTTTAACTGTGCCCTAAATATTAAGCCCTTTCATGCAGATTTACAGGGTTGCTGGTGCTGGTTGTGAGGAAGAGTGAGAGTGCCTCCCCCCCCCCCCAGTTCTCCCATAGGCTTAGATCCCAGTTTTTCCATGTTCATTTTGGGGGGCTAAATGCAAGGGGGAGGGGTTGCTGAAGTGATGCCTATTTGTTTCTCTGCTTGATTCAGAACCACCCTTTTTATAAAATGGTTGTTCGAGGAGGACTGTCTCATCTGTGCTTCCCTGTTCCGGTGATGGAATTTAGGGGGGGGTTGGTTTTTTCCCATGGCAATTACTCCTAATTTCAGATTTATGTTTGCTAATTGAGCACATAGTGTTTTTTCTTCGTTAACATGGTTTCAAACTAGGAGTGTCTTCTTTGACTTTAGAAAGCTATTCCTCTCTAATGCAGCTTTGGGATTCTGCAGATAAATTGAATATACTGTATTAATAATTAATGGTTGCTGATTCAGTTTTTGGGTGGCTTTGAGGGGGTTTTTTTTGGTGCGTGTGGGGGGGAAGGGTGTTTCTTCCTTTTCCCTCTCATCAGCCAGTTTTTAAAATCCTTTTATTGAGGTTTTAATGTCTAGAATTATTAAATGTGTGGATGTATAAACTCGTTTTAAACGTGTGGATTTACAATAAAAGAACAGCCAGTGCTCAGAAGGATGGGGTGCAATCCTAGCAGAATGGGGTTGGCAATCTAAATTCCAGAAAGACCGTATAAATTAATTAAATAAAAAAATCAGCTGCAACTAGTAGGGTGTGCTATTTTTTAAACTGCTATTGGCTTGTTTTTGCTCAGGTGCCATTATATCTGGTTGTGCAGTGCTGAGGGAATTGGACATCTTAGCTATGCATTATGTAGTGAAAGTACAAAGAGGGCGGTGGTATTCTACTAAATGTCTCTTCAAAAGGCAATGCAGAAGAGTTCATTAAAAGAAAATCCTACTAAAATAACATCAATTCATGATTATCTTAACTCTGATAACAGAACAGTAGTAACCTATCCTATCTGTGGTCAGAATCCTCTGCTTTTTAGCATAAGGCAAGTGAAGTGGTCCAAATGTTCTTAATAGATGTGCAGTACTGGATACTTTATAAGGTAATGTGCTCATACAAATTCATACATTTTGTTTTTTATATATGTAAGTCATTTGCAAACACAATTGCCCTGATCCATCTAATGGGCACCTGCATGGTCATATGGGTGCTGTGCAAGTGGTCCCAGGCCTAATCCAACTATGGCTGGATATCAGACAATAATGCTGAATAGCTGTTTTGACAGAAGAAGCTGGGGGGGGGGCTACCTTTAGAGCCTCCCTCTTCCCTGAATACTTGATGGAGTGTGATTGTTGATTGCCTGACAGGCTGTGTACACATAATTGAATTATGGCCAGAACATCTTTTTACAGCATCGGTTGGCATAAATTGACTTTAAACATTGCATGATGTTTGATTAAAATTTTCATATATTTTTTTACACCCAAATTTTGTTGTTTTGTTTTATGAAGCATCTTGGATTCACTTTGTCATCTTTAAATAAAACAATAAATTGTGGAAGGGAAGATTTCTCAGTATGGTGAGTTCTGCGGGAGTGTTTATAAATGAATATGATTCTAGGTGACCAATAGAGTGGCAGTCGTTATTGATAGTGCCCCCAAATAGTCTGATGATAGTACAGTGCTCTTTCAAGCCCTTATTCTTTCAAGATGACACTTTACAGATAGGGCTTCTAATTAAGTATAATTATGATTTAGATGTTAGGAGGCCTTAACTGTGACATGTGCCTGGTAATGGATTAACCGCCACTGGAATCTTAAATGTATTCCTCAGTATATCTGTTAACACAATGTGTCAAAGACTCCCCCTCCCCTTTTCCTGTAGCTGAGTTACATTTTTAGGATTGACACATAAAAAGCAAGAGGTGTACATCATAGCAAATATTACTCATTCTGTAAAAATGATGAGTCAAAAGATATAATCCATCAGTAGTCTTGGTGTTAATTTTCATTTGCAAACTGACTTGATAATGTTTGTTGTCCTACAAAGTAATTTTTTAGGTTATATTTGGGGGGTGGTGGTTTTGATGTGTGTAGGTAAAACATTGGTCTTCATTAGGTGCAGAATTCACTTTTTGATGGTAGTTTTGGTATCTAGTGGCCAGGAAGTTGAGTGTGTGTTGGACCCACTCGCCCTTCCATTTTTACCCTGCGGTATTGGGTAGGTGTAGGAGCTGCTTAAGTATAGTGTAATACCACATGGCTTGGGTGGTGTGTTTGAGTAGCATTACCATACATCTTCATGAGTTTTCCCATAAATTCATGGGAGCTAGCTCTTTCTCTGATAATCAATGTGGTTGTGAAGTTCCTTCAGTTTGTGGTTACAATAAGCTATTACATGCTGTAATGTGCCCATCAGCTGTTTCTTGCTGTGATTGGCAAAAAGATAAAAACACAATTAAAACCCAGCAGCATTAAGGCTTATTGTTAATAGAGCAGGTGGCTGATATGTTAATGCACCAGTGCATTCCAACTCTACAATTCTATGATTATATGTCCCCTAAGTTCTATGATAAAGAGGTTGAGTTGGTTCTTCA